TTTAGAATTCTTTTTGTTATTGTACTTTTGTCTGTGGCCGATTAGAACCAGAACCATCGTAGGACGTGACTGAGAAGCTGTCTGGTCTTGGTCTCTGACAGACCTGGCATTCAGGGAGAACTGTGGCTGCGGGTAGTGTATCTGTAGTTTGGCTGCAGATAAAAGTGGTGAACATGTTGTGGCTGCAGGTTAGGATTCTTCTTGGATAAAATTCAACTGCTGCAGCACATGTACCAACATGCCACCATTATACTGCAACTTGAATCCTTGTTAGTGAAATGTAAAAATAAACCAGCACTGCCCCCTTGTGGATTACTTTTTTAAAGCTAAACTGACTCGTTGCTGCATGATAATCACAGACATGCTATGGTTTAGAGATTCTCCAGACTCAAAGCTGTTCGTGCAGGATCAGACTAGTTCATCTAGTTTGTCACGTACATCTAAATTAATGAGTGCAAGATGAGGAATGAATACTGTAAGAGAAAATAGTTGCCAGCTTGCTGGAAGCTGTGCAGAGAAATGCAGTGTGAGTGTCATGTGCACGCTGCAGCACAGTGACTCTTTTGTTTTCTCTTCACACCATGTTGTAAGTGAAGGAGAAGTTGGATCTCTGTGTGTGAGAAGATAAGACAGTGTGATCTAATAGTTTCTCTGTACAGTATGAGTCTTCAACTACACAAGTTTTGTTTTCCACCTGTCACGAATATACGGTCACACTCTTTCCACTTGCACAACCCTGCCATACTGCAACATTCTTTCTTTTTACCATAATCACGGTTTTATATCTATTGTAAGTTTGAGGCCTGCTGTAATTACAGAGTTTGTGACCACCCTCCAAGGCTGGTGAGGTAGACTTTTCACCAGGAAATTGCCACCTACCTTCTGCCTCCAATAAAAACTTTTTATAGTTTTACTGCTATTTATGACTCCCTCCCTGTGTTTGATCACATTTAGTGAGAATCCAAAAGAGCAGAGGAGCTGGTTCAGAACCTCAGGGGTTACGTTCAGTGAGAGCAGGAGGATATTTGGCTATTTCTGCCTCTTTACTGGTGAGGAAACATACAAATAGCTGCACAGTGTGACTTCCTCTAGTACACAGTACACACACATTCTGATCAATACATACACAAACCATTATCAATCAGAAATACCATCCATTTTTATGCGTATTAAATTAAGTGAGCTTTTCATATAAAGATGATGCAATTGACTGAAGAGAACTGACTTCACAGGATTAGTCAATAAGTCGATCAACAGAACAACAATCAACAAAAAAATTTAATTTTGTAATAAGTCTGTATTGCTTTAGTTTTTTAGTTTGTCATCCAATGATAATCATCATGCTTAGAAGTATTGCACACTGAGTCCAAGTCTTTTTGTTATCCAGTTACAAAAATTCGAAGTAGGAGATATAAATTGCGGTTGAGCAGTAAAGATGATTTCGTACTCCTCTCACTTCTTAAAAAAAGAAAACATCAGGTCGATCCATCCAATCCCAAGGAGAATTTGATGTTTATCAAGCTGCAATTATCTAAATTGCTTCCTGGTCTATTTCAGGATGTCAATAGTCCAGGTTCATTCGCTACTAGCACAGAGGCTGCATATTAAAGAGAAGAAAACAAACTTATATGATCAAACTGATCTCAAACAGGAATCAACTGGAACGCCTTTGACAGATGCAAAGTCTTCATGACAAACAAAAGTTTCTGAGTCTGTAAATTTGCATTTATTTTTAAAATGTGCAGCAATTTCAGATGACAAATAAGGAAAAGGTGTGGGACCTTTAATCTCAAAGTTATATTATAAAAACACATAGAATCCTTTTGTATCAGCCTCTCAAAGGTGCATGCATGCTGGGGTTTGTTTCCTTATAGCAAGCTCAATATATTTGAGTTGTTGGTCAGACAAAATAATTTCATTCTTGCTTGCATTTCGAAAAAAGTTTTAAAAGCACATAATGAGTTTCCTGTCCATGCTCCATTCCATTGAGGCAGGGTCATAATTTGATCCGGTGTGTGTGTGAAACAATATCTGTCTGGTAGAAATCATATTTTACATACATTTTCAATTCATTTGAACTTGTGTCATGTAAAATGTTAGCTTCACATAAATGTATTCTGTGTAAAATGTACTTATTTTGTGTCTCCTGTTTTTACCATTGTATTTCAACCATCAGGTTTGCTGGGATGGGTAACCTGCTTAAAGTCCTAACAAGGGATATAGAGAACTATCCACACTTTTTCCTGGACTTTGAAAGTAAGTCTGGCCGAGGAGTGGAACAAAGGGAGAAAAGATGGATGAAGAGATAGATATGGGGAGGGGGGGTTGTGTCCGGCTCAGCATTTTCCTCTCTTTTAGCAGGTCTCTGCTCCTGGTGAAGAAGCTGTGACAGACTCTGCTTATGCTCCCGTCTCTTCTCCTTGGCCTTTCCCCCTTTTTTTTTTCTTCCACTCAGTAATGACCTCTCACTGTTTCAGCTTTCATCTCCCATCTCTGTTCGCGTAACTTTTTTTGATGACTTCTTAACATCACACATACTTTTCTTCTTTTCTCTTTCTTTCTTTTTTTCTCTCTTGCAGAAACCAAATGGGGAATCTGTTAAATGTGCTCACTTGCACAGAGCTTGAACAGGGGCCAAACTTTTTCCTTGACTTTGAAAGTGAGAACAGCTTATGCTTGTCCTTCTGCTAGGCCAACCCCTCTGTATCCCTAAATTCATTTTTCCTTTAAGCTCTCGTTGGCTGCTCTGAGGGGTCAGGGGTCAGCCTATTCAGCTATTTAATTGTCAACCTTTCTCCTTTGAATTTCTAATGCTGCCTCTAAAGGCTGTTATTATAATTCATGATTGATTTCAGTGCGGCTTAAAAATCTATTCTCTGTATGCCAAGATGAAGAATGGAGCTGACCCTTGACCTTTGCTGTCTGTTTATACTAACTTGTCTGCATGTATGACCCTTTATGTCCACTTAAAATAGGGCAAATCTGATGCATATGTATGTGGCATGATGTAAATACTAACATATTAGAGATCAGGTCATCTTACACAGTGTTTTATTTTTAGCCTTGTTTCACCTCCTGCACAGGTATGTTAGGTGTAGTTACCAATTAATGACATAATCAGTATTAGTTCAATATATGAATGCTGAACACATTTATCATAACTGAAGATTAAAACTACTCTGTTACACAGATAATAGACAATTAAACTCATTTTTAAAAGGCAGCAAAAAATCTGCAATGGTCTTTTTCTAAAACCTCCCACAGAAAGGGGAAAGAAAATCACAACACGCCTCCGCTATGGCACCTCAGCCGCACTCACAATGTAGCCAACCTCAGGCTTTGTTTATTCAGCAAAGAGGAAATGATGGGTGTGGAAAGGTTTTGAAATGCAAAACAGATCCCATACGCTGAGTTTTAATGTCAGTGATGCTCTATATTTAGAGCTGTTGTTGCAGAGTTTTGACTCTCTGTGGTCATGACAGCCAGAGCCTGTACTCTGCCTGCAGACACCTTAAAATGCTTATGGAGGTCACAATAGCTCACACACAAAAGTTTCCCAATGACTGAAGCAGGCCGAGCTGACAACACATTGTTATTATTCAGGGAGAGAAGGGTCTGCGGACCCTTGCAAATAATTGATGTTTATTGTATTCTTGCTGCAATAAAAACTTGCGGGCCTAGCAAAGTATGGTAGATAAGAAAAAGACAATTGATTTAATCATTCTTATGCAGTAAAAAAAAAACAGGACCATTGCTTCACCCTTTTAAAACATCTGTCAGTTTTTTGCCTGGCTCTTAATCAAGGCTCCTCTGCCGCTCCGTGTCTCTATAAGAGCTCGCAGCATCATGCTCTGGAGTAAATCACACTTTAGAATATTTAAGCACTTACACATTTGTACTGTACTGTGTACAACTGAAAGCAGTATAAGAACATTTTATATTTTTCAATATACACTTTGGTTGTCAGCTTCCAAATCTTGCTGCCTTGTAATACTCTCAAAATTATTCAAATAAACTTCTCGTATGTTGACAAGAAACAGGTTCTTTTAAAGCAAGATGCAGAAAATGCATCCAGCTCTAGTGTATTTACTTACAGAGATCTGGTTCCTATAAAGGTTCCAGGATCATCAGTGTAGTTTTCATCGTATTTTTAGCACATGCATAAAATTTGAGTTTTTGTATTTCTAATTAATAGCATCACTGAGCTCAAGGCAGCAAATGTTGGGGGCTGACTGTCGATGGACACGTATGTGGATATACTAACGACACTGTATGTGCCACAAGCAGAAAATGTTGACTCAAGTGAAGCTGTGGTTTTAGATTTGACCCACATACACATGGTTCATTGTGCTGAATGTTTTTGTTCTTCTCTTTCTTACTCATCTTCTAAATTATAGCTTTTCAGAAGGGTTTGAACACAACTTCTGGGTTATCTTTTATTGGCATAAACATTCAGCACACAAGCCTGTGTTTTCCCCAGTGAGTGTTTCATCAGTATTAAACATTACAACTCATTAAAACTGTAATTAAAGCCATTTCACATCAATGAAATTGAATGTGCGATTCTGCAATACAAAGTTAGATAAGAAAAGCAAAAATAAATGGAAGTTTAAGTTTAATTTGTACAGTTACAAATCAGTCAGAATCGAATTCTTGATGTGAAAAGGCAACATTTAATAGCTTTGAATTGTCAGATGGCTATTAGCTTAGGTAATTGTTGTGATGGTGAATGGTTTTTTCACAGCATATATGTGTGTATTCACGTGTGTATGTTTGTTTGTTAGATGCACAGCCGACAGAAGGAGAGCGAGACGTGTGGAACCAGGTGAACTCGGTCCTCCAGGACTCAGAGAACATCCTGACGGGCCTGCAGTCGTATAAAGGAGCCGGCCAGGAGATCAGAGATGTAAGGAGCATGCAAACAAGAACACCACGGCGCTCCAATGCACAAACACTGTACACGGCATGTTCTACAAATGTGATACACACTAGTTTGCTTTGCTTTCGCCTCCTTTCCAATTCATCCCAAACCGGCTGCATGAGGTATAAGGCCTTGTTTACGCTACTGAGGATATTTTTTAAAAGTCTTTTTCCCCTTCATTTGGAAAAAAAACTCCATCCACACTACCTTCCTTTAAATATAAAAAATAAAAAAATAGCTCCGTCTACAAGAATTCACAAAAATGATTACAAATGCCTAAATAAGCATGCTGGACCAGCAGGTCAACACTGTGTCAAATACCAGAGACAAAGGCCAGGGTCCAAGTAATATTGGGCGAGGATGACTGTGAATGCCAGTAATATGATGCAGTGAAGTTAAATTTAGCTGCAAACTTGATGCGGCCGTGCTAATCAAATAGAGAAACTAATATATAGTGGCCATTTCTGTTGTTTTTTTCTGGCTCATGCTCATTACACAAAGCAATGGTGGGCATGTGCAAGTAAACTGTGGTGTCATCGTTTCCAAACGTCCCCTTTGACATGTTCATAAAAAACTTTACTTTATCTGAAGATCTGCACTTTGGAAGGTGTTTGCAAAAAAGCTCAGTTCTAATGACTTATGCATGTGGACCAGAGGCTTAAACACAGAGGAAAAAGTTGGTTTTGCAAAATATCCATTGGAGACTGATCTGCTTTTCTTCATGTGAAGACGCCGTCTGGTTTATTTCCTCTAATGTTTGGGTTATTATCCTACTGAAGAAGTCCTGACAAACCATATTGTCTGTCTTTGTTAGTTGTTTGTTAGTCCTAGTAATGTATCAGGGCTTAGTTTACATAAAGCCTTTCCACAGCATACAAGGTGGGGCACCTGTTGCTTCATGTTGATCATTATGGCATCAATCATGGATGTTTTCTAACTTGGTCCTTCTGCTTCTCTTGTCAAGGCAATTCAAAACCCTAACGACTTCATGCTGCAGGAGCGAGCGTGGAACTCTGTCTGCCCCCTGGTCATCAAACTCAAGAAGTTCTACAGTTTCTCTCTTAGATTAGGTAAGTTCACAGCACAGAGCAAAATGTCTTGTCTCACCTTTCTGTATTTTAAGTGGTGGTGTCATCATTTCTTTTTTTAGTTGGGTTTATAATTCCCCATTAATTAGTATAAACATATTTTTTACTCATTAAATGACACACCTCACACTCTTTGCATGTTAATGTATTGAGATAATGTGTGTCTGTCTGCAGAGGAGGCTCTACAGAGTCTTTTGGAGTCGCTGACGAGTTCGCCCTTCACGCCCACTCAGCACCTGGAGAGGGAGCAGGCCTTGGCCAAACAGTTTGCAGAGATCCTCCATTTCACTCTGCGCTTCGATGAGCTCAAGGTCTGCTGAAAAGACACACACACACACACACACACACAC